ACACAATTAATCCTCGACCCCCCCAAAAGTATGGAAAAATATGGGCAGTGGGGGGGGAGACAGAAACCCAGAAAATATAGGAAAATATGGGGAATCGTTTTATTTGTATTTGTGTGTGGCTCAGGGCTCCTTCATTCGAAGGGACTGGACTTGTCTGCCGCTCCGCCGGCTGCGGAGCCGCCGTCGCCGCCCCGTCGCCGCCTCGTCGCCGCCTGTCGTCTGGGCCCGTCTGCCGCTGGGGCGGCCATGCAGCCGTCGTCGCCGCTCCGTTGCCGCTCCGGCGTCTGGGCTCGCGCGCCGCTCTGGCTGCTATCTGCCGGCCGTCGCCGCGCCGTCGTCGCCTTGATCTCGCAGCGTGGATTGTGCAACGTAGATTCTGCTGTCGAAAAAAAAAGACTGAGGATGGAGCCCCCTAGGGGATATTCGTCAACCTTGGGCATGTGCAACGGGCATCCCAATCTGCCCCATCGTTTACTCGAAGTATGAGCGCATGCCATCCCAGCCAAAGCGGCATCGGCACCCCCCACACATGCGTCAAATCATACGACGCGCGCGCACGCAGCTGTTTTCGAACATCACATCGGGGAAAAAATGTGAAGAAACGCGCTCTCGCGCGTGGTCGCGCGCGCGTGCCATAATCTTTCAAATTCTGATGTTTCGTCGGGCTTTTAAGTCGGGTGTGCGGGCAACATCTAAAAACACATGTTTGCAGAAAGAACTGTCCCAAAAAGGCTGCGTCGATTGGCAAATCAGAACACCATCGGTTTGTCAAAATCGGCACCAAGTGCGACCAAACGGGTTTTCGCGCGCCCGGTTGTCGGAATCACTGGAACGCCATGCTGGCCATTCGCGTGCGTCGGCCGCGCGCGCATGTTAAAATCCTTCCAACGCCTTCATTACCGACATGTGGACACCATCATCGTCATCGGCGTGATCAGCATCTGCGCCGTCGTCGGCCTTGCTGTCGTCATCGTAATTCTCGTCACAAGCATCGCTTCTGTCATCGTCGTGTCTGCCGTTGTCGACGTCGCGACGGTAGCGCGATCGCCCACCTCACCGAAACGCATTGAAACGCCCACGCGCCAGCGCGGCGTGCGGGACGCACTGGGGCGTGCCCGGCCGTCAATGCCACCGCAGTCGCGTGGGTCGCGCCAGGCTGGCTGGCCGCTCTGCGCTCGAGCTTGCCCGCGCTAGCGCGGCCGCAGCAATGCGCCAGCCAATGCCGAGCAGACATCGCATTCGCCGCCGCGAGGGTTCGGCAGACCGGGCTGCGGGGGGGTGGGCGGGATAATTGCGCCATCGTGGGCTGTGGTCACGCGTGGTGCAACGTAGTCGAATGCTCCGCGCAGGCTTTCTAAAAAGAGAATAGACTCTACCCCCCCCCCCCCCCGACTCATCTGCCCTCCCTGGGATAATTAGTATGATTTCATATATAATATGTATATATACCTATACGACCACCCTTCGGGTGATAAGGAGGTTTGAGGGGGGGACCAACGTCTCACTCGATCGGTCTCACTATCGATCTCACTATCGATCTCAGTATCGGTCTCGCTGGATCGATCTCCCTCGATCGATCTCACAATCGATCTCACTCGATCTATCTCACAATTGATCTGACTATCGATCTCACAATCGATCTCACAATCGATTTCACAATCGATATCACATTCAGTCTCACTATCGATCTCACTATCGAGATCACAACCGCTCTCACAATCAACGTCATCATCATCAACAACAACATCAACATCATCATCACCAACAGCATCATAATCCGGACACCGTCCTCATCATCAACACTAACAGCATCATCATCATCACGGTCATCAACATCATCGGGACACCACCATCATCATCATCACCATCATCACAGTCATCATCATCATCAACACCGGGACACAGTCATCGTCATCATCATCATCATCAGCATCATCATCGGGACACCATCATAATCACCATCGTTATCATCATCATCATCATCTTCATCATCATCATCGGGACACCATCATCATCATCATCATCATCTCATCCTCATCATCGACATCATCAGCATCATCAACATCATCATCAGCATCATCATCATCGTCATCATCGGGGCACCATCATCATCATCATTACCAACATCAGCATGATCATCATCACCATCCGGACGCCATCATCATCAACCTCATCATCATCACCATCAGAATAATCATCATCATCGGGACGCCATAATCATCATCAACCTCATCATCATCAACATCATCATCATCGGGACACAATCAGAATCAGCATCATCAACATTAACATCATCATACTCATCATCATCGGGACATCATCATCGTCATCATCATGATCATCAATATCATCATGAACATCATCCCCATCCTCAGGACACCATCCGCATCATCATCATCGTCATCATAATCATCATCGCCGACATCATCATCATCATCATCATCATCGGGTTACCATCATCATATCATCATCATCATCATCATCATCATCGTCCGCATATCATCATCATCATCATCAGCATCACCATCATCATCAGCGTCATCATCATCATTAGCAGCATCATTATCATCATCAGCATCACGGTCATCATCATCATCTCATCATCATCATCATCATCATCATCATCGTCATCATCATCATCATCATCGCGGGACACCGCGGGACACCGGCGGGACACCGCGGGGCACCGCGGGACACCGCGGGACACCGCGGGACACCGGCGGGACACCGCGGGCCACCGGCCGCCCGGAAGGGAGTCATTTGGTCCGGCCGCGCCTCAGCCACACGGGACACCAGCGGGACACCGCGGGACACCGGCCGCCCGGAAGGGAATCATTTGGTCCGGCCGCGCCTTAGCCACAGGAGACTTTTTCTCGCCGCGCGGCACGCATGAACACGAAACCAAAATCGATTTCCCCACTTCGATCTCACCCCCTCACCTCCGATATATATATATATATATATATATATATATATATGTATGTATATATATGGCTATATATAGCTAGATGTAGCTATATATATATATATATATATATATATGTATAGATTCTGCACACTCGTCCATCCTAAATATGAAATCGTATCATCCCAGCCAAGCCGGGTTCCCCCCTGAGGCTCCCTGGTTAAAAAGCACTATGCGGTGACATTTTTTGTTCTAGCAACATTTTTTGTTTCACGAATCCCTTGCAACAAATGAGACGAAGTGCGCACGCGCGCGTCGTCGCGCGCGCATGCCGAAATCCTTCAAAAACCTTCCGTGCGGGAGGGATTTCGCAATTGAGTTCCCCAAAAAACATACAAAAACACAGGGTTTCGCAACACAGAATTACTAACAAGCAGGCTTCCGCGAAAACTTCTGCGAAATCTTAAGAGAACATTTTTTGTTATTTTCACAACATGCTACCAAACGGGCTTCGCGCGCGCTCATGTCGAAATCGGTCGAACGCCCTTGCGCGTGTGCCGTCGCGAGAACCCCCTGCAAAAAATGGGACGACATGCGGACGCGCGCGTCGTCGCGAGCGTACGCCGAAAACCTTCAAAACCCATCGGTTTCGGAAGGATTTCAAAATCGTGTGTCCACAAAACCTACAAAAACACAAGGTTTCGCAACACTGATTTTCAACCAAAGCGTGCGCGCGCGCTCTTGCGTCGTCGTTGTGTCGTCGTCGTCGCCGTCCTCCCTCCTCCCGCGTCGTTGTCGTCGTCGTCGTCGCCTACGTCGTCCTCTGTTTTTCCTCGTGTTCGTCGTCGTCGTCGTCCTCTTTGGCGTCGTGGTCGTTTCCGTCGTCGTTGTCGCCGTGGTCGTCCTTCCTCCTCCTCCCTCGTCGTCGTCGTCGTCCGTCGTCGGCGTCTCGTCGTCGTCCCTCCTATTTCGTCGCCGTCGTCGTCGTCGTTGTCGTCGTCGTCGTCTTCCCTCCTCCCTCGTCGTTGTCGTCGTCGGCGTCGCCGTCCTTCCTCCTTCTTCGTCGTTCGCGTCGTCGCCGTCCTCCCTCCTCCCTCGTCGTTGTCGTCGTTGTCGCCGTCGTCGTCCTCCCTCCTTCCTCGTTGTCGTCGTTGGCGATGTCGTCGTCGTCTTCGTCGTCGTCGTCGGCGTCGGCGTCGTTGTCGTCTTCGTCGTCGTCGAAGTCGGCGTCGTCGTCGTCGCCGTCGTTGACGTCGCCGTCGTCGTCGTCGGTGTCGTCGTTATCGTCGTCGTCGGCGTCGTCATCGTCGTCGTCGTCGTTGTCATCGTCGTCGGCGTCGTCGTCGGTGTCGTCGTCGTCGTCGGTGTCGTCGTCGTCGTCGTTGTCGGCGTCGTCGAAGTCGTTGGAGACGTCGTCGGTGTCGTCGTAGTCGTTGTCGGCGGCGTCGTCATCGTCGTTGTCGCTGTCGTCGTCGGCGTCGCTGTTGTTGCCAAGTGCCATGTGGTACCCTCCGTCACGGTCTTAAGAGGTTTTGCAAACCAAGTTGCGGGTGGGTGGGTGGGATGTTTGCGCGAGCAGTGGAGTGGACAACTCATTGCGAACAGAAATTAGCTGCACCACGTAGATTCTACCACGTAGATAGCACAACACAACTTGCACCAGGCACTTTGCAACACGTAGACTGCACCACGTAGATTGTTCCACGTCGATCGCACCATGTATTTTTGCACAACTATTGCGCAACTTCGATTGCACCACGCGCGGTGGCCACATAGGTTGCACCGTATGCGTTGCACCACAAACATTGCACAGCATTAATGGCACAGCATCGGTTGCACCACGTAGATTGCGCCACGTTGGTTGCACCACGGCGGTTGCACCACATCGAGTGTCCAACACGATTTGCACCATATGTATTGCGCAACGTACAGTGCAGCACGTAGGCTGCACCACATTGCATTGGTTCACGCAGAATGTACACCATGGCTGAAAACACGCTTTGCGGATTTCGCGTTTGGTATCATTCGGTGTCCGCCGATTTTTTTTGGTGGTCTTCTTCACCTCGGGATCCCTGCCTGCCCGAAGCCACACAAGGCAGCGCTCAACGACCCATCGTCGGCGCTGTCCATTTTCCTGGAGTGCAAGGGGGTGCAGCTGGAGTTGACCACTGCGGGCAGGACGCGGCTTGGTCTAGCCCCCAGGGAGGAGGAGGATCTTTTCTCCCATTGCGACGCTTACAGGGCACCATGAGATGACCATGGGAAGGACAAACACATAACGTTCTTGGGGTTTGACGAGGAGGAAGAGGAGGAGGATAACTGCCAAGCGCGCTAAAGGCATCCAGGGTACCTGAGCCCGTCTTTCTTGATGAGACGACCAGCGGCCTTTCTGGTTAGGGTAGTTTCAGTTTACCACAACCGACTGCCCAAAGCAGCTTGCCCTGACTGGAAAGGTATTATGGGCTCAAAGGACTGTAGGAGTCCTCATCCTTACAGTCGCGAGCGAGTATGGCAGAAACCTGTTCTGTGAGTCAAGTTTATATCGGGGATCTCAGTGCATGGGGAGATCAATTGACATCATTGGGCGAAGCGGCCACCAACGTGGTACGCCCGCCACGATTCCTGATCGATTCCGACCTGGTTTCCGCCATATTTTGAGAGAACGTCGGGATAGGCTGTTCGGGTGCGCAGGCGAGTGCGTCAGTCGCTTTGCGATCTAATTCTTGTCCTGTCGCGCTTCTGCGCGAATCCGCCAGCGTCCTCGGAGAGTAGGGTGCGCTAGGTGGGATGGTCTCAACCAGCGCGGCTTGTCCTCCCCGGCGTTCAAGAACTTGTGGCCTGGGCGTTGTCAGCAATGTTCGTTTCGTTTTTCGTTGTGTGTTATTGCTGAATGGTGGGCTCGTTTAGTTGTTCGTGTTCGTTTGGCAGCGGCTTGGTGTTACACTTTCCTCATGAACGCTAGGTTACGTGTCTGGTGTTGCCTTCAGCACGCTCATTCAAAGCAACGGTTGGGTCGGTCCATGCATGAATGTTTTCGTGGATCTGTCGATATGGGGTCCTCTTGGCAGCTTCTTTGGGCCATCTTGGGGCCCGCTTGGGGCCTCCTGGCGGAAGGCGCGCTATCGCCTCTTGGGTTAAGTCGGGTGTGTTGTTCTACAGGAAAATAGTCAGCAAAAATAGTCAAGGGATAATGTTTGAGTATGTTTGATTATGGTTCGGTGTTTTCTTGTGTTTGTCCCTAAAAGTCAGCCTGTAGGGGGACATGCCCGACCTAACTCTTGGGTTGCTTTTTGGATGCTGCTGGGGTACTCCCGGGGCCGTCTTGGCACCTCTCGTGCCCCTCCTGGGTCTCTCTTGGGCCATTTTGGAGCCGTCCCGACGCCTCACGAACACATCGGAAGCGAAAAGGCGAGACTCCCTCCTCCTCCTCCTCCTCCTCCTCCTCCTCCTCCTCCTCCTTCGACTCCCCTCGGACCTCCGCTCCTCGCAGCCATCTTGGAGCCACCCCGGCGCCTCGAGGACACATCGAAAGCGAAACGGCGAGAGTCCACAACATGTTGCACGTCCTGTGCTCTTGGGAGGATCTGGGCCTCGCGGGTGGCTCCTTTGGGTTTTCTGTGGCCACTTGGAGCACTGTTTGGAGCCGTCTTGGGGCCTCTCGGAGGCAGGGACGGAGGCCACCTGGAGCCATCTCTGGGTCACCTGGTGCAACCTTGGAGGGCATCTTGTGCTAGCTGGGGCCTCTCCAGGGGCCTCCAGACCGAGGGGGAGTGGGGGTGTCTGGGGGAGAGGTGGACCTCTCCTCGAAGGGGAAGACGAAGGTTGGAAGAACGAACCCTCTAGGCCATCAACACCCAGTGGGCTGGGCATCAGCGACGCGGGACGGCCTGAGTGCCTCCTGCCTCCGTCGCCCTCGCCCGTCCCCTCTCGCTGTTCCCTGGCGGTGCGCACGAGGCGGTGACGCGACGAGGGGGGCCTTCTAAGCAGGCGGGAGGGTCAGAAGGAGGCCTCCTCATCAGAGGGCATGAGGGTCCCAAAACTTCATCCCCCCGCCTGCTTAGAAGGCTACCCCTCCTCGCGCCACCCCCTTGTGCGCGCCGCCAAGTTGTCGTGCTCCTTTCCAGGCGTGGGCACAGGTGCGCGCAGGCGTGCATCTGTGGGGCGTTCCATAGCCGCCGATGCTCGAAACACAGGGTGCTTTAAGACGTTCTGGGGCCCGGCCGCCCGGGGTGATCGGTCCCTGCCTCCGTGCCCTCGCCCGCGGTTGCAGCCCCGCAGCCCCCCAGGTCAACGAGGAGGAGGGAGGGAGGAGGGAGGCAGGAGGAGGGAGGAGGAGGAGGAGAAGGAGGAGGCAGCCAAAGAGGAGAAGTACGAGGAGGATAAAGAGGAGGAGAAGGAGGCGGAGGGGGAGGAGGGAGGAGGAGGAGGAGGAGGGGGGGGGAGGAGGGGGGACGGAGGGAGGGAGGGAGGGGGAAGGAGGGGGAGGGAGGGAAGGGGCGGGGGAGGGAGGGAGGGAGGGAGGCAGGAGGAGGAAGGGAGGCAGGGGAGGGAGAGAGGAAGAGGAGGAAGAGGAGGAAGAGGGAAGAGGGAAGAGGAGGAAGAGGGAGGAAGAGGAGGAGGGAGGAGGGAGGAGGGAGGAGGGAGGAGGGAGGAGGAGGGAGGAGGGAGGAGGGAGGAGGGAGGAGGGAGGAGGGAGGAGGGGGAGGAGGAGGAGGAGGGAGGAGGAGGAGGAGGAGGGAGGAAGGAGGGAGAGGAGGAGGAGGAGGAGGAGGAGGAGGAGGAGAGGAGGAGGAGGAGGAGGAGGAGGAGGAGGATGAGGAGGATGAGTCAGGAGTGAGGAGGAGTGGAGTGAGGAGTGAGGAGGAGTGAGGAGGGAGGAGTGAGGACTGAGGAGGAGGAGGGAGAGGAAGAGGAAGAGGAGGACGAGGAGGAGGAGGACGAGGACGAGGACGAGGAGGAGGAGGAGAAGGAGGAGGAGGAGGAGAAGGAGGGGGAGGAGGAGGGGGAGGAGGAGGAGGAGGAGGAGGAGGAGGAGGAGGAGGAGGGAGAGGAACGAGGACGAGGAGAGGAGGAGGAGGAGGAGGAGGAGGAGGGAGGAGGAGGAGGAGGAGGAGGAGGAGGAGGGAGGAGGGGGAGTGGAGGAGGAGGAGGAGGAGCAGGAGGAGGAGGAAGAGGAGGAGAGGAGGAGGAGGAGGAGGAGGAGGAGGAGGTGGAGGAGGAGGAGGAGAGGAGGAGGAGGGAGGAGGAGGAGGATGTGGGGGAGGAGGGGAGGGGAGAAGGGGGAGGAGGAGGATGAGGAGGAGGGAGGAGGGAGGAGGGAGGAGGAGGGGGAGGAGAAGGAGGAGGAGGGAGGAGGGAGGAGGGAGGAGGAGGATGCGGAGGAGAGAGGAGGTCGTCTCGCCCTTGGTCCTGGGGGTCGGCTCGGGGGCCACACCGCGCGGCGCGTCGGTGGGGATCTCGGGGTCACCGCACGATTTTGGCACTCGGGTCGTCCTCCGAGGACGTCTCCTCGCGTGACTGGTAGGGGAACGAGCAAGGACAAAACCATAAGAAAAAACTCGGAGGTCCGCGCGGATTTCTTGGACCGGCGCTGGAGCCCCCTGGCGGCGCCTCCGGCGCCGCACCTGGAGCGCTCCGCGCGCCAAGGAGGGGGGCCCAACCGCCGATCCGAGAAATCCGCGCGGGCCTCAGAGTTTCTATGCTTCTATCTTTGTTTGTTTCCCTAGCTGGGGCCTCCGAGGTCCCAAAAACCGTGCGGTCATGGACCGCGAGGTGAGGTCGTTGGGGGATTCCGAGGTCACCACGCTGCCCGTCACCACACGGTTCTGGGGGCCTCGAAGTCGGCGCTGGGGTCGTTTCTATCAATCAGGGGGCGTAGGCGCGGCCGTGGAGGATGAGATGGCCTTGTGGGGGGGAGGATGCAACTCTTGGGAGGTTCAAGTCGACATCCACGCTGGTATATCCTTAGGCGAGAACTGGCCGAACCTGGGTTAATCCTGGGCGATTCCGTTTCATACCGCTGAATCTGGCAATGTGGCTTAGTCTCGCTGTGTCTGGTTTTATCCGGCCTGACAGCCCTCAGTCGTTCTTGGCAAGACCTCCGGGGAGTTGCTTCCTGAGGGGGTCGGGGCAACGAGATCCAGGCAGCGTAAGATCTGCGCAATCACACATTTGAGCGCACTTTTCAGGCGATCGCGAGCACGGATCATGGGGGCGTGGATCAGCGACGGGTCCCGTTTCCATGACGAACATCGCGCATCTCCGCCGCCGAGTGAGGCGGCCCGTGCCGCATCCTGGGGAGGGCACCTCCCCCCTGTCCATGGGCTCGGCGACCGCGCGCCGCATCCATGGATCGCGAAGCCATGTTTGCGCGCCCCCGATTCTCGGCCCCGCCGCGCCTCCTCCCCCCCCCCCCGCCGCGCCCTCCGCAGGACCTCCGCGCGGGAGGGCTACGGCCCGGAGCCCCTCGTGGGCGGCCCCGAGAGGCTCTAGGCGGACCGCCGGGGGCACGAGGCGCCGCCCCCCGGGGCGCCAGGATCGCGGCCCGAGAGGAGGCAGGTAGCGTCAAGTCGGGCATGTCCTCATGGGCCTGTTTTCCACCACCACCATCATAAGTTGGAGGGGGGAAGGAGGTAGAGGATGAGGAGGAGGACGAGGAGGAGGAGGAGGAGGAGGAGGACCCCCTCCCCCTCCCACTTATGGTAGTGGTGGTGGAAAACACGCCCACCATGTCCCCTCTACACGAACGAACAAGCCAAGCGCCAGCAGGCGCGCTGGGCAAAAGCATGCCTCTACATGAGGTGTACACAGAACTAGCCAAAACGTAAAATGGGGAAGTTTTTTCTGTTTTTCGTTACAACCAAATCAAGACCAAAACATGGATTAGAGTTTTTATGTATTGTTTTATGGTTTTTCTTCCAAAGCCGCCTGTCGGGTGACCTGTCAGGCCTGAAGGTAACTGGGCTCAGCGCAAGCGGGGCTCGGCCAGAGCGCCTGATCCTGCTGGGCTCTGCAGCGCCGCGTTCTGGCCGAGCTGGGCGACTGGGAGGCATGCGCGACCCTGGAGCCTGGCCTGGGAGGCCACCCGGCAGCTGGCAGCAGCGTGGCTCCTTGATTGGCTGGGCTGGGTCTGCGCTCAGCCGGGTGGGCCCACGCCCGGGTCCAGGCTACCGAAGTGCGATTCCGGGAGGGCCTGCATGTGTCGTGAGACAGGCAGGGGGGTCCGTGAGTTCCCATAGGGTTAAGTCGCGCCTGTCCCTCTACAGGGGGAAGATTCAAGAATAGTAAAAAAATAGCCTGGGGACCATGTTTAGAGTATTTTTTGACCATTTTGGTGCATTTATTGTACATGTTTTATTGTTCGTCGCAAGTGCCCCTGAAGGGGGACACGTCCGACTTAACCATAGGGTCTCCCGTGCGTGTGGTCTCCCGCACCGTCTCCCGACCGGTCTCGCGTGTAGTGTCGCTCCGCCGTATGCTCTCCTCCCGCATGGGCCCCCGTGTTGTTTGCTGTGCAGTCGAGGTTGATTAGCAGGTTGGCCCTGTCAAGTCGCGGGTGCCCTTGTGTCCTGAGCTTCGCGACCCATGCCTTCTGACATTCCTCTGGCAATTTGGCGCTCGGAAGAGTCTTGTACCGCCACGACTGTACGTGCTGCGGGCAGGTGGTATGCTCCCGTTTCCAGAACCAGTTTCGCTTTCTTTTGGGGGGGGGCCGTGCTCGCTCGGACTGACGTCCCCCACGCCTTGACGCGCGATTGCCCCTGAGCTCGCATCTGTTTGCAAAAAAACAGCAGCGTGGCGAAGGAGAGGAATCGGGAAGGAGACGAGGAGAAGGAGGAGGAGGAGGAGAAAGAGGAGGAGGAGGAGGAGGAGGAGGAGGAGGAGGAGGAGGAGGAGGAGGAGGAGAGGTGGGACATGATATGTGTGTACATGTGTATCTGATCTTCCATTGGGATTCATAGAACACGGCAGGATTAGGAGGGCAGAGCAAGAAAGAAGCCGCGCGTTCACATTCGCATGCTGGAATCGTGCTTAGTTGACAATTGGCGAACTGTGCCTCCGCCATAATTGCGCCTCGCACGTTCGCCCATTGGCAGAGCCCGCGGCAGCTGCCACTTCGGTCTCGAAACACAAGATCGCGAGTTCTACTAACCTGTCTTTGCGGCCTGGGCCCCATAACTGCCGCGAGGGGCGGTGACAGGAGAGGAAGAGAGGGGGGAACACAGAAATGCGTGCGATGCTGAGGAAGAGGAGGAGGATGATGAGGAGGAGGAGGACGACGACGACGTGGAGGACGATCACGACAAGTAATGGGGCGAGGAGGAAGAGGGACAATGCAAACCAGCACCGCCGATAATTCACCGGAGTTGAAGGCGGGTCCGCGGCCTTGTTCCTCCCTCATTTTCCTCAGTCGCAGTGCTCCTCTTCCTCCGCTCTCCCTCCGTTGTTCTCTGGCCGCATCGCCACAACATGTTATGATGTGCTTGTTTTCCACCAACACCATAAGTTGGAGGGGGGGGAAGAGATGGAGAATGAGGAGGAGGAGGAGGAAGAAGAAGATTAGGAGGAGGAGGACCCCTTCCCCTCCTACTTCTATGGTGGTGGCGGTGGAAAGCAGGCCAAGCATGTTTGCAGGTCTCGCCAAAAAAGCGAAGGTGTCTGGAGCTGCCCAGTCGAGTCTGGGGTTTGTTTCGAATCCGCGTTGTCGGCGACGCCAGGCACCGCATTGACCGCGTCAGTTCGTTCGCGTGACGCGGGCCATAAGCGAAGGGCGCATTTCGAAAGTAAAAGGTGTGCACCAGTTAATTTAACTTTCGCACGCAACGGTTCATGTGGTCATTCGTCTGGAATTTTGGCGTGCGAAAGCACTTGAGCTTAGGGAGTGCCATGCGCGCGCCTCCGTCAGTTGTACTGTTACCAAGGTTGGCACATTCAGTTGTTTCCGTAGTCATGTGGCGCAAAAGGTGTGGTTCAAAGACATCGCGGGCCATTGCTTGGAGGTTCAGCTCCCAAGTTGCTTTTGTGCAGGGCGACGTTGCGTGCGACGACAGTTTTGGCGCTCTCTTTGCATGTCTGGTGCTGCCACAAGCGCGCGTGGTCCCCCTCATTGAAGACCTGCTTTAGATTGCAAGTGTTATGGGAAGATGTCAAGGGATTTCGACGAATGGTGCGATCGCTGATGCTGACGCGGCAACCAGTGAACTCGGGGCAGTAGTGCCGAACACTGAGGAACAAGCGCTTGCACGGCGTGCGATTGCGGCTCGAATTCGGGCTGATTCCAAAGGCATGGACGCTGAGGGGATTACCAGTGTAAGGGCCAACGCATTTTCGGTTCAAGGGTTGCCTTACGTGCTGTCGGTATTGTGCGAAGTTGACATGGGTGTGAGACATCTCGAACGCTTCCTACGCAAGATCTTGCCATGCACGCGGGCTGCCTCTTCCTGTGTCTCGCAAGCGTCAGCGTTGCCTCTGCCGCCACCCACCTTCTCGACCCCTACGTGGATGACAAAACTGGGGCCTCGTTGTGTCAGGTTCTGCCGTTAGTTCGCACGACCCATGCCAGAAAGCTGGGTTGCCGTTGATGCGCGCGCAAAGACTGCAGACATGCAGGCGAAGGTCGACGTCGCACTGCAGGGTTTCAGTTTTTTCAGGATCCAAAAAACCGTTGGGGGCAACCGCGGCGATGAAAACAAGGAATCGGCGACGACCGTCGGCAAGGACCTACAGGTGGATGGGTTTCGCCGGTGGGTGGATATTCGTGGGCAATTCGTCGGGGCATTGGCCACGCTGGAGCAGCACCCGCTGCCGCAATGACAGCAGGAGATGAAGTCATAGTATCGCCTTCAGATCAGAACGTTGCCATCCGATTTGAACTCCACGCGGCGGCGGCACATGCTCTGTGGTCACACTTGGACTACAATTGGCGCGGTAAGCTCGGCGCCCGCGTGCGCCGGCTGATATGCGACGCCGCGAACGAGGACTCAGTGGACAAGGCGAAGGCTCACGTGAGCGTCGCCGTCCTTTCTCCTCCCCCTTCTCATCGTCTCTCCTTCCCCCCCCATCTTTTGGCCTGCCGGAGAGATTTGGTCAGCCTATCCCCGCCTCGATCCTCTATCTTCCTCCTTCCTCTCTCCCCGTTTCCTGTGCAGGTGATTGGCGATTGCGGCATCGAGCTCGACCTTTCGGACGTTGCGTTCGGCCCGCATGCGGGCGTATTCATTGTGATGAAGCAGAAAACGGTGAAACAAGTCTTGGCGATCTATAGAACCCATTCCAAGAGCCATGCGCTCGCGAGCGGGCGCGTCCAGGATCCAGTCGGCAACGATCTAAAGATCATTGCCGCGCCAGCTGCAGCTGCTGGCGAGATCGCGCCTGCAGGCGCCAGCGAGTCCCGTGGAGATGATGATGGAGATCTCGCAGTCTAGTGCGCTGACCTGGTACAAACAAGCACGCAGAAGGGGCAGCACGGCGACGACACGTTCACCGCCCGCGACAAGAACTTCATCAAGGCTTAATTGCAGCTGGAGTCCGCGAGGCTCTCGGTGGACGCCGAGTTGTCGCCGAATGTGTTTCTTGAGACCGTTGGAGGGGGGGGGGCGGGCGCGGAGCAGCGTCGCTCCGCGGTTCACGCGGCGCCCGATGAGAGCGACACGAAACCCATCGACTTGATCGGCAGGGTCGTCGACAGCAATGGCGCCGCCTTCCTTCCGCCCGCCGCGGTGGCATGCCTTGTGGGCGGTGACAAGAGGCCCCGAGCTTTGGTTGGAAGGATCTGCGTTTCTCAACGCAAAGCGCTTCGACTTCTCGCAAGGCTGGTCGATCCCCCGAAGCCGAATTCTACGACCACGACGCCAGCGAACAAGCGCATGGCCGACAAACTCAAGGAGGAGAAGTCCGACATCGTTGCCGCGCACGTCTTCAGCGCGGTCGACGTGACAGTGACGGTCAACAGGGGCGGGGCCGACGTCTTGTTCATCTACTGGCGCTTTGTTTTGACGCATGTGTTTTGCACCCGGGAGGTGACGAACCCGCTACGCCGCGAACGCCTCCAGTTTATTGACACGAAAAGCGCGGACAAGGAGAAGCGCGGGATGCCGACTCCTGACCGATTCTCGAACGGCTGAGCGCCGTTCGTCGCGGTGACCAGTCGCCATTTCACGTTTGGATTGTTTGCGCCATCCTGGCACGGGCGCTGCCGAGCGAGCGCGCTCGCGAACAAGATATCACGACTCCTTGTATTTATCAATCCTTTGGCCCCTAGTTCCTCATGTTTGTCTTTCCCTTTCCGTCCTCCACTTCTTCATCCTTCCCCATTCCTTCTTCCTCCGCCCCGCCCTCCTTCCTGCCCCCTGTTCTTCCTCTTGTTTTTCTTCTCCCTTCGTCCGCCCCGTCGTCGTCGTTTTCCTTCTCCTTCGCATGGTCGCCGATTTTTTCCCGTACCCAGCATGATTCCTACACCTCGTCCTTGCCCCTCCTGGCCCCCTCTTCGCGCC